ATGCCTTCTATAAGCCTTTCCATACAACATGAAAGCATTCAGACAAAAACATAAGAAAACACGAGTGTGCTGATAACATTTAAAACTGGGATGTTAAAGTCTTTTTATAATGCAGGCCACATACAACGCACTTTGATTTTATCCGGACCAGTGAAATTCCAATTTCTGTCAGTGTAACAAGGTTTAGCTACACATTTAATCAGTGAGATGCCTTAATATAAGAAAAAGAAGAGCAATTTCATCAGTATGTTGAGTATTTTCTACATGACAAGAAAATGCAAATGCAAAATCCAAAGCCATCCAATGGGGCGTATTAGAGTCTTTGGCTGGCCAATTCTGGCCCCTTTATGTTTGACAACCCTGAGTTAAATTATGAAAAAGAACATATATCTTTTAGAAATATTAGGAGCTTGAAATTTGTGAAATGCTTCAATGCTCATCCAAGAGGCTTCTTCAGATCCAAAACAAAAGATCCCAGGTATTTAACCCCCAGTAGGGGTTGGAGAGTCCAAGGTGTCGCCACTTTTTGTTTTAGAACTGAAGAAGCCTCCTGGATCAGGGTTGAAGCATCTTCACAAACGTAAAGAAGTCCAGTTGTCTTCTTTTTTCAGGCTCCTAAGACCAACACAACCTGGATGCCTGAGAACCTACACAGACATCAAGAAATGGCTGCGTTGTGGTACAGTGGTTAGCACTTTGGTTTCTCAAGTCCAAAGATATCAGTTAAATGGTGATTTAAAACTACCTATAGGTGTAAATGTGAGCACATCAGACTGTCTGTCTCAACTACGTTAGCCAGTATTACTAAATCATGCTCGCTTAATTTTTAAAAGCCAAAAATCACTAATTAAGATCAAAATTGGTGTACCCTTCCTCCAGCGTCACGGCCTACAACAGCAGTAATGGGGTCCCATAAACTAAGTCATGTAAATGCAAATGTTCAAATTAAAATCATCAAACATCAAACATTTGTGAAAATGTGATAATGTTCCAGTTGGGAATCTAGAATCTAGCAGCTAAACAGTTGACAGCATTATACTTATGCGCCTGATAGCCGTTACAGCACAGTACTGTAGTTTGACAGAGTTCTTACAGTTCATCTGGCTCTTTCTAAAGCTAACAAAAGCTTCTTTTACGGTATTTTATGGTTTTTGTGGTGACTTTTTGTGTGCTCTTGGTGGGACTTCATCACCAAGCAAACAAGCAAAAAAAAAACACATATACTTTGTCGCTTGGTATTTTACGACCAGGCCAACTCTTTATCATCCACTCAAAAGTGCTCAGTTTTTAACTTTCTACAGCTGTGTAACTCCAAAGGTGTGATTTTCTTACCAACCAGTTAACGAAACATTGGATTTGCAACACTGTGTGTCTCCAATTAACACAACAGCTGTTACATAAACCTAAAGTCAAATTAAGCTTTAAGCATTTTGTTGTTTAGTCGCTTCTGAAAGAGACCCAGGCAGGTAAAGTGTACACGTGGGCTGAAGGCAGGTTAAAAACACCCGCGAGGGTCTCTAAAAGGGACTAGTTTGAGGGTTGTAAAACTCAGGTACACAAGCAACGCAAGAATCAGAAAGAAGAGCGAAAACAGTTTCGTTTAAAGGGACACGAGACGGGAAGGCGGGAGATGCGATGGTGAGCCGCGTAGACGGAAAAGTCGGAGCTAAAGCCCGACCTGGAGGGAGCTCGGTGGGAGGTTGTGGAGAGGCTGGGGGCAGGCTCCAGGCAGAGGAGAGGGCAGGGAAGGATTCACGGCCCAGGATCAACAACAGCACACTCAATAACCCCCCCCCACAGACACACACACACACACACACCCTACACCCATGGGCACCAGGGAGAAAATATGCCTTCAACAAATGCAAGAACTCATTTACAAATTTTTACAAACCTTTAAGGAACAAAAAAAAAAGGTGATTCAATGCTGTTCAATATCAACCCTGTAACAACCAAACAGCGGGCTGGGGATAAACCTGAAACAGAGGGCACATGCACCAGACGTTGTTTGATTTTTTTGTTGTTGT